AGGAAAGGTACACACCAGTGGGAGAGATGAGAAAGCACCATTCCTTTTCAAGCATTCAACAGAAGTTAAATACAATCTGTGCAGTATTAAGGAAAGTATTTTAAGGGCTTACTTTTTTTGTTGTTAGACATAATAATAATGATAACAGACAGTAATGGCAAGGAAAGTGTAAAAGATATCTGTAGTAATTATATGTCACAGTAAGTTGTCTTTTTGCCCACTTTACATTTATATGATAATTGCTACAAATAACACCCTTGGATGTTGTTTGGCATTAGCATCTGTTAGTTCTAATTCATGCAGTATTGTATTCATGATTGTTTTACCCACTATGGCAACATCAAATCGCTTTTTAAGACAGCAAAAAAAATTCTTGCAACGATACTGAAGAAGGTCGAATACTGCAGTAAAGTAAGTGCCCACAATATTTCCCAACTGGTTTCCATATCGTGTCATTGTGAATAAACGAGCATGCCGCCGTATTTGCCGCCTGTTGAGCTGTGCATTCGTACGCGCAAATTTATGAACCTGCAAAATAAAGAAAATAGACTGTGTGTTTCAACCACCGCGTTCACGTGTGCTCGAGATGGTCGGCTACATTTGCTGTCCACACACAGTTGTGCTAATAGTGGCAAAAACAGTAGTTGGTTTGCTTATAAGTGCACCGAGAATACACCGATGGCTGACGCCAGCACAGTATCGACAGCAGCCGGTGGGAGGCCGGCTCGCTTTTGCCGCTGTGGCGAAATCCTCAATGGCTTCGAGCGGTGCAGAAAACATGTAAACAATGCATTCCATGCAACTTCATTTTAAAACAGCAAAACGACAACCTACACAGAAGACTGGACAACACGAGCGCTGTGTTCTCTGTGTTTAGTCTTTGCGCAGTTTCAAAAAGAACCCAAACCAACTAGCCCAATTTTCGCTTTTGCTGCAGTTTATGCAACCACGGGCCGCTCCAATGAGGGCATATTAAGCGAGTTTTTTTTTTTTTTCTGTGCACAGAAAAAGGGAGGGGGGAGCTAAGGCAATGTTTGACCCTGCGCGCGAACGACTGCGATATGGTTTTAAAAATTTTGTCAGAAAGTTACACTAGTGGCAGGTATCGATCGAGACGTGAGGACATGTGTCGAAGAGGTACGTAGTTTGTTTCTCTGAGGTTCGTGTTTACGCAGCTCAAGTTCTTTCACATAAAGACCCAGACCTTGGTCAATAATGCAATGTGCAAGCGGCCAAGCATCATTCATAAAATGCAACGACTGCGGTAGCCGCGAAAGCAACAGATATTCGCTTTAACACGCTGACCGCGGCGCAAGTTCGTGCAGGATGCAATGGCGTTTTGCTTACCTTCTGACGACCAGTAGGCGAAGTGTCGCACATCAAATATTGACGCTCGATGTTCCGGATGGTGCAAAATATGATAGCCACGTATGTATACATATACATTTCACAATAAAATGTAGAATAGTGCTGAAGCTTCGACGTTCAACGCACGCCTCGCAGCCAAAAAAGTAAACAGGAAGTCACCATGACACCTATTGCAGGATGCAGGTGGCGCTTCGCGCAATCAAGAATCGGAACCGAAATCGTGATTTTATAAGCATCTTTGATTGACCTGTCATTGGCGGGCGCCAACCGTATATGCACAAAACAAACTTTTTCTATATGGAAAGAATTTATTACTGTAAAACATTTGGCTAAGCTCAAGGCGTTCAAGTAAGAGATCTTAGTCTCAAAATTTTTCACCCTAGCTGAGGCTTTGTAACATTTTGGTCTGTAGAAACCGGCCACAAATAAATAAATAAATGTAAGATTGTTGGAATATGTGACCTCATGCTGACTATTGAGCAGTGGGTATTCGGCGCGAAGTTCAAAAGTTTGCTCTTGAACCTTTTTATCCATTCTATTAATCAACTTGTGATTGCAAATACAGATAAAAGGCTCCATTAGGATAATTTTCCCACTCTTGAAAGATTGTGACAATTAAAACATTACAAGCTACCACGCTCAGCAAATAGCTCTAGCTTTTTATGCCGTATCACACAGACTGCATTTCAAAGCTTTATTGAGAAAAATGCAACATAGTAAAAAGAATGAGCCACTGTCCCCATGGTAAGGCCCTTGTCGACCTCTTCCTTTATTCGAACACACTGAATAGATCTTAACGTTGATTGTGCTACTCCTAGTCTTTTACACAGTTGTCAGAAAAATTCTACAGTTGAGCGAGCATTAACTTTGTATGTTAATAAGGTTTGAAGTTAAGATCACGATAGTATACCGTGATGCACTAAAAAAAAAAGTGAGAGACGCAGACTATTTCAAACAAAATGTTCATGATATTTCATCTCCTAAACAAAATGAACCAGTTCTGGTTATGTATTTATTGTCAATAAGGCTTCTATTCTGGATGCAAAAACACTATAAACACTTTGTTTCAACTGGTCAGCGCATCTTTTTCGTTCTGTAGTTCAAATAAATTTTAAGCTAATAATTGCACCAGGTGAAAGTTGAAGTAATTCATTAGAGACACTCACAAGTTTAGTAATAAAGACTGCTTTATTTTTGCACAATAAACACAGTTTACACAATTAGACTAAACCGTTTAGAACACCCAGTCTCAAAGGATTCTTACACAATAGAATGGAGTGCACGTATATGCTGGGTGTCTGTGCTTGTGCAATTTGGAGAACTTGCAGCATGGGCACCTGCACAAATAAAGGCTATCTTTTCACACACTAAAATGTAGGTAAAAACCTTATTGCGTTCATTCTCATAAATATGAATCACAAGAACTGTTCATTAGTTTAATGTAGGGTTGAAAGGTAGCAAGGTCTGTGCAGGTTTCAGTAGCCCAAATACAAGAGACTTTCAAGGCGCTACTGAAGGTTTCTTAAGAATATAAAGCACCGTCCCAAGTAAACATCTTCTTGCAATAACCACGCTTCCAAACCAACATGGTTTGGAAGCGTGGTTATTTACAAATTAAAAAATACAAAATTAGTAGTTGGCTCACACACAGCACTTTATTAAAGCTTTTGCTGCATAGAAACGGTAGATACTGGTTGAGCTAGAAGATGTGTGATTTCACCTCGTGAGCTACTTTCATGACAGAGTTTGATATGGAAGAGTAAAAAATAACAGAACTGGTTGAGGTGAAGTCAAATCACCCAGAGGAAAGTTTCAAGTGGACCAGGTGAAGAGATGAAGCTAATAGCAGGAGACAAACAAGGTTAAACACTGGGTGGGAGCCATCACAGGAGCAAGTCTGTGCTCTCAAAGTAACCTGACAAACGTTTACATATACACAACAGCTGCTCAGGTCCATATCGGAAATTATATGCCAAAAAATTGAAGATTTTTCTGGGAACAAAAACAAATGTAGGAAGTTAAAGGGCCATGCAAAACTACTGTGTAATTTCAACTGTTTTCAAAGGCTCCAGGCATTTGTACACACCCTGAGGTAACCACAAGCAGGTTTCTGTCATTGATTTATGATATGGTTAAAACACAGCCACATAAGTGTATTTTGTATCAAACTACATAATGGTGTTCATGCAATCTGCAAGGAGACTTAATGTGGTAAAGGTTAATAGTGCTCTTATGCTGCCTATAAGTCAATAGGAGGGCTAGCGCACCGTACGAGCCAAAGTTAAACCAAAGGTCTAGGCAGAATAAAGAATATGAAGTTTTTTATAACGTTTTTCCAGGTATAAATGAGTAAAAAGCTGTGATTTCCTTCCTAGTTTACAGAGATCGGTTTTTATTCAGTCTAATGATATAGCCCTATAGCATTAGTTGATGAGGCTAGACACTATACATACATGCATACATGGAGCAATGAACTCAGCGGTCGGTAGGGTTCTTACATCCCAGATGGCACTACGAAAAAGGGTGGATGACGTGGGTCATGCACGAATTTTCTGAGCAGCAACACTGGCCACCTCAGCAGATTTCCTAGTCTCTACACTTAAAAAAAAAATCGCAACCCAACATTTGTGAAAGACCTGCTTGCCCATCATTGTTTTACCCTACAAGTGTACGCCTCTCTTCACAAACACATAACAGAAGAGGAAGTCATAAACAGGAGTAAAATTCAAACTGGAGTTTATCCCATTAAATAAAAATTATGTGCCATGTTCTCTACGTGCTATCTGAATTGATTGATTGATATGTGGGGTTTAACGTCCCAAAACCACTATATGATTATGAGAGACGCCGTAGTGGAGGGCTCCGGAAATTTCGACCACCTGGGGTTCTTTAACGTGCACCCAAATCTGAGCACACGGGCCTACAACATTTCCGCCTCCATCGGAAATGCAGCCGCCGCAGCCGGGATTCGAACCCGCGCCCTGCGGGTCAGCAGCCAAGTACCTTAGCCACTAGACCACCGCGGTGGGGCTATCTGAATTCCTGCTCCTACTGCAGAGGAAGTCTTACACTCTATTACATTAGCTGGGGCTGCTCAAAGCATCCTTCACACTTGACACACACAGAAATGATCCTGACACACACGTTGGAGTAGAGGGAGGCGCAAGTGTTGAACGGGCGGCTAAGGCCGGTGGGGCCCTTGACTAAGTCTCCCCCTCACCATAAGTCACTCATACTGCAATCAAGCTTATCTGTTCTGTACAGTTTTCTCGCACATAATTGGTCAATCCACTTCTCGTCAGGTGGTCTACTCATATTTAGACATGATACTTCTATCTAGTTCCAGGTTGAAGCTTGTGACCATGTGTTGGACCATGAGAAGTTAGGCCCTAAGACCGTACACCAACTTGGAAGCATATACTGGCTTGATAGAATATTTGAAACAAGAAAAAATGAAAAATTGTAAGAATTGACGTATTGTTGGTCACAGTTCCCTTTACACCACATGGCAGAATGCTGATTTTGCAGTAAATGAGTAGAGAGACTGGTGCATTGTTGAAATTTGCAATACTTTTTTATTGCCTCATCCATATTTTTTTTTATTGCCTCATCCATGAATCTTGTTTGCACTACAGAAAAAAATTGCAGCATGGAGGGCCAAGGTCATGCCTATTATCTTCCGATAGGGTGCTGTGGTGTATTAAAAAATAAAAAAGGAGGGGGGAAAATCATTCAACTACAAGATGCAAAAACAAAACTCAGGAGAAAGCTCTATTAAGGCATCTTTATTGTAAGATAAAGTAGGCATAATAGAAACACATACAGCTTTCTTAAGCTATGAAAAGTTGTCCAGAGTAGTTTCTACTCACTCCTTCCTCTCACCTTGCATAACAACAATCTCGCCACACAGGGGCACACAGACTATATCACGTATGTTCTTTCATGGTATTGCTGTGAATGTCCTTTAGTCATCAACTACACCACTCATGTGAAGAAGTGATAATGAGCACACCCTTTTTACAAACAAACAAAAAAATCTGACTAGTAAATGCAGACCAATAATTTAAAAGTAAAAGGTGCTGATAAAACTTTTCCTTGTTACGTTCAGCTAACATGACCTTGGAAGCTCTTTGCAGATGCCGATCAGAGAAGGGCGTATGAGAGTTAAAGGTGTTAGTTTTACCAAACATGCACTCGAAAGAGATGATTATGTACCTTCATAACATAAATGGGGAGACTCAAAGACTTTGGCGATGGTTTTGGTCTTTGAATGTACTCGTGAAAAAGAGTTTTGATGCACTACAGTGTAGAAAGACACAATGGACCGAACATAATTGGCGACAATAAGTGCTGAATTTTCTACAATGTTTATAGGGAAATAGCACGTATATTGATACCGTTCCGAGAAGACTGAGGACCTAGTTTACCCCACACAGGTAAGAGTCACAATGCAATGCGCACATCATCGGTGAAGTAACTTCGTCAGCCGTTGTAGCCTGTGCTCCTTCTCTTGAACCGAAGTTTGCTGCGGCACTCAGGGAGTCAAGGCCAGTACAGCTTTCTTTTCTATGTAAGGTTTTGCATGAAGCCTCTGCCAATGATAGTGCCTCATAACCTAATCCTTGAGTGTGTTGAGCATTCTACTGAGAAACACGGTTTCATTGCTTTCAAAAACCCTGCAGGGATTTCTGCTAGCGGTTTCTTAGAAATTCCAAGCTTTTATTAGCAATCTATGTATGAAATGCTTGAAGGAATCCCACACCTACAGAAGCAAGGCATATGCACTAGTTCCTGCATTGCTCGGTTCTTAGAGACCCACTTCTTGCTCAATTCAATTATGAACTCAATGGCTCGATCACCGATAAAAATGTTCTTAGCATATTCCAAAATGTATCTCATGGTTACCTAATTGTATTAAGTGGTGACCTGCGTGACTTAGAACTATAAAGCAAAGTGCTACTTGATGTGTTTTCTAATGTGATGAGCCCATTTAGCCTAACCAATGAACTCCCAGTAAATGGCCAAATTAGATGTTTAGATATCCAGTTTCGTTTTGTAGGTGTTAGCATCTGCTGGTGCTATGAACCATGCACTAACATACCACTACTGCCTTTGAAGTCCGCCTTATTAAACGAGCTATTGCCACATCGTGCCTCAGACACTCTGGGCAAACCTTGATGCTGTGGGTTCAGCGTCAAGCTGAAAGGCTGACTGGTCCTGGCCATCTCAAGCTACTCCTCATTTCAGTTGCAGACAGCCTATTTAAGAAGGTACGCCACCACCCGCAAAGTTGAGAAGCCATTGCACCACACAGGCAGAAGGTACAGATGTTAGCAAAACAAGTTGTCCAAACAAGCTTGCATGTGTTGGGCTGTAGCAAGAATAGAGGAAAGATTTATATAGCTGAAGCGTTCTTCAGAGCGAAGGGCTCTTAGAGCTTCATCGACTACCCGCTTAATGGGGCCTAGTCCAAGGCAACCACTAGGCTCTTCAAGGCCTTCTCAGAAAGTTGCGATTCTAACGACCGATGTGGTATTGTGTTGGTCTATATTGAGTTCACTTCACTGGAACATGAAGTACACTCGTACATAATATGTGTAAGTGTTGGCATCACTACCCTCCAGGGGCACTTTTCTCGGTACACAGTGGAGCGTAGCAGTGAGTGTGTCAGTAAATTTGGGTCAATGCGTGATCCCAATCTCTGGGCTTCGAGGATGTCAGCTCGACTGAATAGTAGCTTACAGATTCATCCCATGGCGCTTCTGTCGCCCAGTATGTATTCGCATGGGGGGCAGCCTCCATGTCGCTTTCTTGGTACAGCAGAGTGTAGAGAGCACCAAAAAATGGCGTGTTCTTCCGTAATATGATAGTTTGGGATTTTGGTGGCAAGTCAATGACAAATGCCTCTACATAATTCAAGAAAAATTTAAGTCGTTCCATCAACGTAAACGAAAATACGCACTGTTTTTAACTTGGAATGCTCACTTCTATGCCTGCAAGAAAAGCAAACAATGCAATGCATTAACAAGTTCGGTTTCACTGCTATGCACGTGCGCTGCGGAGAAGCACGAGGTAAAGTTAATTAAAAAATGACCTAACTGGCATTCACACGTTCGGCTTCACAGCCGTGCACGCGCACTGCGGAGAAGCACACAGTAAATACGAATACAAATTTACTAAACTGAAATTCACAATTTCGGCCTCACTGCCTTTGTACGTGCGCTACAGAGAACAAAGATGTTCGTTCTTTTAACGCGCCTGAAGCAATAATTTTAGTTTTCTATGGAACTAAGCGCAGTACAGTTCCACAAAAGCGTGCGTATGTATATTTCAACCTAATCATTTGGGGCCATTACAATTACACCAGCGTTATTCTCCAATGCTAAATGGCCGACGCGAAACACAGTTTAATTTCGCCATTATCGCATATCAGCGTGATTAGAGGACTCGGAGCAAGTTATACAATTTTTCCGGATGCTATAACAGGTGCCAAAAAAGTCAGCAATTTCATACTTATCTACATTGGAAGCATCTGGGAAAGTGTTCTCGAATCTCGGCAGCATAGCTCTTTATTATGTCGCGCTGTCTGATATGAAAGGTATTTCTGGCCACTACATATTGGATAGCGATCAACCGCGCAGAGGACAACTAAACAATTGACTGCTTACCTTTTGTGGCAAGGCAGCGCACAGCAGCTCGCTACGTCTATCGATCGAGCAAGTAGTACAGTCACCCTGGTGTTGACGAAATGGCTACGAGGCAGTGATTTGCGTGCTACGTTGTCTACTAGAGAGCAGTACGATTCGCGGAGACAAAGCACGGAGTAAGAAAAACTTCGCTCGATCAAGGCCAGAAAACAGCAGGGCGCGGGATTGAGACAGCAACACTTAGATGATGATGATGATGATGATGATGATGATGATGATGATGATGATGATGATGATGATGATGATGATGATGATGATGATGATGATGATGATGATGATGATGATGATGATGATGATGATGATGATGATGATGATGATGATGATGATGATGATGATGATTAAAGGCCTCCCCTTTGAATCGGGGTGACGGCATGCGCCATCTAGCCTACCTTAATAGTTCGAGTTTAAATTCTGTCCCTCAACTCGGATGTCTTTTTAATTTTGCCCAGCCGCTACTCTTGGCTGGGATGTTATTTTATCGACTTCTCTGCTTTTCCTCCACCAATACTCCAGCCGCTGCTTAGTAATACCTACTGCTGACCAGTTAATGCTTCCATCAACCGCGAAGCCCAGCGCCTCAGGAAGTGTGACCTTCCCCCCATTTCTATCCGGCTGAATCTTTTGACATTCCATGACTATGTGGTCAATTGTTTATTTATGCCACATCCAACACATGTCTCATCCTGTGACGAATATTTGCTCCTGTAAGTTAGAGGTAACTTTCTAGGTAGCGCATCTGCCGTGCGCGCCACCTAGAAAGTTCCTGTAGCAGACGACGCCCAGCTTTAAGCACGGCATTCAGCTGTTAGAAAAATATCTGCACATGCCAGGAAATAAAAGCTACTGATGCCTGACTGTGATGAAGGCTGAAATAAAAGCCCAAAATGTTAAAGCTGTGCCTTTATTTTAAATAAACATTGAAAAAGAGAGCGGAAAAAATGTTTGATCGCCTATATTCGGCATGTTTACATCTCGTTTATTCGCGTTCGTATTACATTGCGTTTTCCAACGTAAATTAGCTGCATATAATTAAAAAAAACGAAGGCGCGTTGATTCGCTTTCATTTCACAAAATAGTCGGAGCCCTTGACGGAAACAACAACGAGCCGGGACCGAAGACAACCCGAGGAGAGTTTACCCGGTGCTGCCCATGGCGCCTGCCTTGGTCGCTGTATTGGCTTTACCTTGGCGACTGCGTGCGCTTAATCCGATTGCTCTCCGCCTTTCTTGCTCGTAAGTGTGCTGTGTACATATAGTGGTCACTTCGGTCGAACAATGCATCTCACAGCCATCCGGAGCGAAAAAATTTCGACATGGCGTTGCTGAAACGCGATCCTCGCTGAAAGTAAACATCCTGCGCACGTGTGTGGAAACTAAAATTTGGTGGAAACGCTTGCGCTAACAGTCTTCTTCTCACTGCGTGCGGCGATTGCCCGACCACTTGAGTGTCTTTTGCTATTCTGTGCTACTAGTCAACGCAAGCGTCACGACATTCCAAAGCGCCATGTCATCGCCGATCGTCGAATTGGTTCGTGTTGCAAATGCGACCTAACCGCGCGGAACACCATGGTGTAGTTAAATTTCTTCGACAAGGCTTCTTGTGTGCGCGTGTGTGAATGCGGTTGTATTCCTGATATGAGCAACGTCGGTACGTAGCCTTGAATCACCGCGTGGATTTTTAATAGTGCGTTTATGCTTTTTCGATTTGCCTTTGTGCCTCCCTGAAGCGCACAAGCTTCTCAAGAATTAAAGATCCTTAAGTGAAACGCCCGCGAATTGGCCTAGTTATTGTTGCACTTTATTTTGCTGGCGATTTTATATCGCTTCTGATGTTTTTCCTACGTTAGTTCGCAGCTTGGTGCTTTTCATCAGTGAAATAGCATTGCTGCTTACCGAGACATTTCGTTTAGTATCCGAGTGTGAGGGTAACCTAAGAGTAACAGAGTAGACAATAATGTACTTTGATATATTTTTATTATTTGGTGGCCAGTAGCTGTGGATATGGGGTATTTATTTATTTAAGAAGATACTGCCTGTCAGAATGCCATACTTTAGGCAGTGGTGAGCGATACATATAGGAGATATACAGTGATAGCCAGTGGCTATATGGTATTTATTTATTTAAGAACATACAGTTAGTCCGAATGCCATACTTTAGGCAAGGGTCAGCAATATAGTGGGAACAACACAATTCAGGAAATACAGTCATGGCCAGCAGCAATGGCTATGTGGTATTTCTTTATTTATTTTAGAACATACAGCCAGTCCGAATGCCATACTTTAGGCAGGATCAGCAATACAATGGGAATAACACAATACAAGAAATAGACAATGCATACAGAACAATATTAAATATAGACTAGATCATAATGTAGGAACAAGAGTATTATTTGTTTAAAACGAAAGCCTGAATGATACACAAACCCAAACAAAGTTTCATAATACCACACAATTATCACTACACGAGCAGTACAGTAACAGCAACTATCACTTATTTACCATAACGGCTTGACATATACACATGCCGCCTTGCAGGAGCTGAGCAAAGTTTTTCATCCATCCATATACACATGCAGCACAAAAATATAATGACATTAAGTTGTACAACTACGTAAGGTTATGCTTGCAGACAACAGCTGCGGCACATGCCACCCACAATGCAAAGTACAGAGTAACGCAGGTACTTACTAGTATATTTAATTACACATTCAATGCACGAAATACGCTTAGGATGTGCTTCCAAGTGAACAAAAGGACATGACATGAAGCTGGAACTGAACAGTAAGGGTAGCTTAAATAACTATTAAACTGCAAAAACAAAGAACAGCCACGCTTACAGTAGTACAAGAGACATCATACATTTTACACAAACTTTTCTACCAGTACTACCTAATGCTACCTGCAGCAACATGCATTCCAATGCTTTGGCTACCAAACTTCTGTGAGCTTTGAATTTTTGTCATAAGGAGATGGTTTTTCTTTTTCACGAGAATTGAGATTCTAGTTCTTAAAAACGTGGCAAGGAGTTTGTCCGATATGCTGTGGCATGTAGGGAAGCAATTGCCCAAGTACGGGGAACTTTGAATGGTACTCTGAAGTTTAGATGCAGAAACTCTGTTTGCAATCAATGCATCTTCATTTAAGTGCACATAATTTTCAGCAGCCTCTATTAACTGCAAGACAGCTGGTGATAGAACTGTCAATGCCGGCTTCTCTTTGTTGTAGCACTTCAGCATTGTGAGCTTGTTTCCCTCAGCTGAGCTTGTGATCGCTTCAACACAGGCTTGACAGGAGTTTGCCTTCTTGACTTGTGCAACAACATAATCAGCAAGGTACTCCAAGGATTCATGTTCTAAGTCTTGAATATCAAGGAGGTCAGACGGACGAACAACATACATTTTGCTTTCATTTGGTTTGTTGTCATCAACCATGCCAGTCAAGAGAAGGCAGTCTTCTTCAGTGTAGCTGCCGTCCTTACTTGGCCTCAGAAACTGGGCCATCATAGCAGCTCGAAGCGAAAACTTGAATTCATGTACACGAGGCACCGGGTTCTTACACCTTAGTGTAGAGAAAAGATTCTCTAGGGCATCTTGGCCGAACCTGCTCAGGAGCAGAAACTTAAAGTTGTACTTTTCAAGAAACAGTGCCTGCAGTAGCAACACTGATCTTGTCGCTAGGACAACGCCAGTCTGCACTAGTTTCCAGGTGGCTTTTTTTTCATCCCCAATACATATTTTTTCAAAAAGTGCAATTGTTTCTTCAAGAGACTGAAGGGCCTTACTCAACATCATCAAAATGGCTCAAAGCCAGTTTTGTTGTTCTGGAAGTCATGAGTCTGAACCATCGAAACATCATCTCAAGAAACCATGCAGTTGTCAAGGCTGGTTTATCTAATGTTCCATTATCTACAAGCAAGGGTACTGCAGCAGCAGTGTCGCTGTTGATAAGGCTGAATGCTGGCCCCACCTTCATTTTATCATAATGGCTGGGGTCAACTGAAGAAGGCTTCAGGTGGGGAGCTAGCTTTAGCTCTGCATTGCTGTGCACAAGCTTCTTTATAGGCTCTGCACAAGCTTCTTTATAGGCTCGATGGATATTTCATTTCCTGGCAGATTGTTTTTTTTTTCACTACTTCTTCGGGCAAGTATATCTTCTGGCCCTTAGTTAAGTGGCTCCTCAGGTTCTTAAGGAGATGAGGAACGTCAGCCATGAAAAAAAGTTGCCTAGATGCATCACATGGGTGGGGACACGAGGTTTTAGGCTTGCTGTCCCAGTCAAAAAAAGTGAATGGGTCCAACTGGTCATACCAGTTCCCATGAATTGGTCCCAAATGGCATTAATTGGAAGCCAACTGGAATGCTGAACTTCAATAGGAAAGACCAATTGGACCTTATAGTTCCAATTGGCCAGTCCAATTGGTTCACCGCTGACCATTTGATCTCCAATTGGAATGCTTGTTAGTCCAATTGGCTGCCCACATTCCAATTGGAAAACCATTGGAACAGTGCATTCCAATTGGCCTCCCAATTGGCATCCCAAATGGTGTGCTTGTTGGTCCAATTGGTTGTACAACTACAATTTGGGAGAGTGTTGGAACATTGTTCTTTCAATTAAAATTTGTTTCATATACATAAAAGTTGATATTTGTTATTTACATGGCAACTTAATTTGCTATAGGCCAGGGCAGAATTCCAGGCTCAAGTAATTGTCATGATTCTTATATATTGGAGTCAATTGAGCCATGTATACATATTTTGAATTGAAAACTTCATTGTAGTGTGCATTAGGTTATGTTCTTCAGTCATTTATGTTCCTTATAAGCAACTTTTTTTTCTAGAGCTGTGGCGTTTACTATAAGGTACATTTTAACTCAAAACAGTGGGACAGTTATAGCATTAACAGTTAACATGAGTTTGAATATGGTACAATTAAAAATGCAGCTAGTTCTGCTGGTTTGTGACCTATAGCTGTGCTCATAGAAGCAGTACTTTCAGTCTCCTGCTGGGTGATTGCCTGGACAAAAATAGGCCCATTGCTACATGCAAGCTTCATCACTTGTTTTTGTCATTTTTTTTTCTTGGATATTTTGTGTAGACGAAGTAATAGTCACTGATGTGGGTATAAAATTAAAGGTTGAAGTTGGTGCACGAAA